CAGGCAGCATCTGAGATTCATTTATGAGATATGGAGGAGTATCTAAATTACTATTAGACAATGATGAAAACATCTAAAACTGATTCCTAGTTGATAGCCACAGCACACATTTAGTTGAAAGCTACCCAAGAAAACTAGGAATGTTAAAAATGTTTAGTGGGAATAATCTTTTAGTGCTCTTAAGGTTTATTGCTTTTATTTAATACCTATATTCCATAGTACCATTACATAGGTCATATTTTCTTGACTTCATCCAAATGTTTGCAAAAATCAACACAGCTTTTATAAACATCAAACATGACAAAATGTTAAACACATTATTTTGAACAGACATCGAAAACTGGAGCTTTGCATTACACGCCCTAAGGCACATTACTAGAACATCAGGGTTTGATATTGAAATATGTATAATATCATAAAGTCAATCCAAATATAAGCGGCAGGTTTATAGAGTGTAATCCTGTTCTTATCTATTCAGTTACCCAACAACTGTGACGTATGTTAAACGCTACCAAATCTATGCAAACACAATACGTGATTGGTGCGTGACTTTGAACACCGAGAGGCATACAAGATTAAGAATTTAAGAGACGACAACCCTGAAATAGTTAACCTCGAACGTCACAGCGTCACGCATAGGTACAAATGCTTGAATAAAATATTCACTCAACTGTTATAATAACGGTCATTAATCAAGCTGTCGGCATCTATTTTTCGACCAAAACTTAATTTCGTCGACCGCCTATTATATCTGATGTAGTAAAATATTCGTAATTTGCTGAGATATAATTATTTCAGAGATAAACACAATACTAGCGTGATTACAGGGTTTTACCGCGCCCTGATAACCCTAACTGTAAATGAAAGGCAAAGGAAACGTGGCGTGACCTTTATTTTATTATTTCTTCCAAATTTATTGTTAAGAGTAAGGACTTGTTCACAAGTTTAATGCGGCTATTTATAACTACGAGTACTAAGACGGGTCAAGCGATGTAGATCATCAATCTCTGGCAATCGTTTAATTTCGTGTGGTTTGACTCCATGAAAGTATAGTTTATAATTATGCTATAGACAAGGTGATTAAAATGACATTGACGGTGCTTATTAGACTTAGTACGGACATATTAGAAACATGATATCTACTATGTTATTGTTGGGTATTAGTTTCCGATATTTATCCGAAAATAAACCTGATGAACACCCTATTTCTAATAAATGATGAAGTGAAAATTACAATGTTAGTTTGAATCAATACACTAATCTACTATTCACTATATAAAATGTTTTAACACACACACACACACATACACACACTTTGAAAATGACAATTATAATTTGTCAATTTTCGGAGACATTACATACAGAGGCGTTTATAATGACTCATATCAATAGGCATACTAAGAAAAGCTGCAGATCGCCTTGTGATCAAATTTTGATCATTGTCATTTTTAACTATACGAGTAATGCGTGTGTATTTAAAATTATCTCAGCATGTTTATCAGTAGTTTGGTTACCTATATAACCGGCACTGATAATTTCGATCAGATGGCCGTGTGTATTAGGTGTCAATACTATATTAATAACTTGAGCCATTATTATAGTCACGGTGCTATGGCAATCAATATTTATTTGTATACGTGTGGCTAGCTACACACGTATAGGAATTAACTTTTGTACAAATTGTTTAAAGTAACTTTCCGTACTTCTGCTGCATAAAAACGATTACCAAATTAACATTATTTCTGGTTTCATATTCTTGTTTTCTTCTAATTCTCGAAGATACGAAACTAAATGTTTACTTTGATTCAACTTTACCTACCTTAGGTACACAAACTCATTATAGCTTTAGTTGCAGTTTTGACTGAACTCAGTCTTGTGAAGTGAAGAGAGCTTGAGTGTAGCAAAGTAAAATGGGTGTTCCTTTATCAAGCAACGTATGTTTAATATATGTATATAATATATGTTATGAAACATGAAAACTATTTAATTCTTCTCTCGAGGTTGATTAAAGTGTTACTGGCTTTTCTAGCCTTAGCCAAAGAGAATTGTTGTAAATATTTTTCAGGCTCGGATTTGTAGGCAGTAGATTTGAAGATTCGCGAAGTAACTGTTGCATTGTATTACCGAATCAATAGTAGCCTTAAATTGTGTTTATAAGGAACTTAAGGGGAAGATTAAAAGTCAGTAGATCTTGCTAAGTGTTTTGGCACCTAAATCAAAATCACAATCACCATATTACCACTAGATCATATATAAAATAGAGATAAAATCTCTCTAGTGGTGAAAGATCTCGAAATTTAGCATCAATCTTCAGCTGCAAAAGATCTTGTGATTGAATTATATGAAATTTATTTTATGAAATTATAGACCTATGAGAGATTTCAAAAGAGTTGATTACAACTCTCTTTTCAAGGCCCTCAATAAGATATATAGATCTAAGCCCAATACTATCAATGAGTGACATTAATGGGACTGTTGACTTACTTATTTCCACCTTAAATAAAGAGTTAGAAATTATAGTTAATTTATATATACGTGTACCTAAAGGGGTTATTAAGGTGTATAAGAAATAGGGACAAACTATATCAGATGACAAAAAAAGATCCTAGAAACGTAACGTATAAGCTGACCTATACACGATATCACGATATCACAATTTCACTAATTCACTAATCAAAAATGCTAAAAGAGAATATGAGAAATCAGAAATCAATAACGCTAAAAACAAAACGAAACAACTTTGGAAAGTAATAAAAAATGTCACAAATACTAATCAGACCTAAATTCCAGCATTAGACTTGACAACCAACAATAACCCTATAGAATCAGCTAACGCTGTAAATAAATACACGTACAATAACAAGTATTTGAATGATCATAGGAAGGAACATGCAGATGACTAATTTACCAAATGGTTATCATCCCGTGGCTCAATCGCAGTCATTTGTGCTTCGTCCCACAGATACTCATGAAATAGACTTGATTATATCTAAACTTAAGAATGATTGTGTTATGATACCTAGATTGTATTTCCAATAATTTCAGAAAACCCACTGGTCTATATATGAAATCTGGCATTCTCGTCCGGCATCTTTCTTAAGGCATGAGAACGAGCACTTGTAAATCCTATTTATAAAAGTGGCGACAGAGACTCTGTAAATAATTATAGACCTATATGCTTCATCCCTGGCTTCTCAAAAATCGTTGATAAAATTGTCAACAATAGACTTGTTAACTACATAGAAGCAAAACAGTTACTCTCGAATTCCCAATTCGGTTTTCGCAGAGCAGGTCTACCGATGACGCGATCCATGAGCTTACAAACCATATAGTTTCTATAATAATATAAATGAAAAAAAAAGTACTAGCTATATTTTTAGATTTAGCCAAGGTATTTGACACGGTCTCTCTCGGGACAGAGACCGTTTCAAATGCTTTGGGCTACTGTGGGCTACTGTTCAATAAACTGGAACGGATGGGTTTTCAAGGCATTCAACTGCAGTTTTTCGCAAGTTACCTCACTGATAGCTTGCAGTGTGTTCAAATTGATGGTATACGTAGTCATGAGCTCCCTATAGACATAGGTGTGCCCAATGTAGTATCCTCGGAACGACCTTGTTCTTAATTTTTATTAATGACCTTTGCCAATTAGATATACCTAACACTGGAAAAAAAATCACTTTTGCAGACGACACCGTACTGGAATCGCCTTGAAAAATTCAAGGCGATTCCTAGAAGGATACGTATCAGAAAGCTCAAAAGGAAATGAATCGAGTCACAGATTGGCTGAACTGTTATCTTCTATCGTTGAACGTCGATAAAACTAAATACGTAACATTTCAACTAAAAAATAAAAAACTACATTTTGATACACCATAGCCCATCATTGCCCATCTATGTCATAATCGAGATGTTACTTCTGTTCTATGTACCTAAGAAGAACTAAAACTGGTAGATACAATTAAATATCTAGGACTGTCATAATTGATAAAAACCTAAACTTCAACGCTCGCATAGATGTATTAACTTCCAGAACAAAGAAACTAATTTTCATTTTCAAATACTTGAGACATTTTTACGAATAAAAGGTACTTAAAATAACATATCTCGCCTTATGTCAATCAATACTGATGTGTTGCATCACATCCTAGGGCGGTGGAGCTAAAACCATTTTGGTCAAATTAGAACGTGCACAAAGGGCAGTCTTAAAGGTAGCTAAAAGGTAGTTTGCCTACCTTTTTTGTATCCCCCAAGAGACTTATTCCAAAAGTTTGATGTTCTTACAGTTCGACAACTTTTTGTTTTTCGTCTTCTTAAGTCTCACCCATAAACTAACTACGATCCTCTAATCATGGCAACAAAACGTCGAAAACATAAAATCTTTCAAGCTGACATAATCCATAAAATCACTTTATCTCATAGGTTCTCTTGTTTTTTACTAATGTTAAAATAGGTAAAAATATATAATAAAATTAATGCTATCCTTTCCATATATTCCTGTAATAAATATAAGTTAAAAACAGTATTAACATCATGGCTACAAAACCTAATATATGATAATACAGAAATCCTACTTGTGCCACTAAGTTACACACAGCCTATTTATTTATTTAATTTGAATTATACAAATAAGTACCGCACACACACGCACACACGAACATCCTGTTTTGCTATTTGTTATTGCTTTTCTCTTGTTTGTCTACTTATATCATGTTTTGCAAACTAGTACATGCCACAAGAAATGTAACTAAGTTTAATAAACCGAAAACCATTCCATTATTTATTGTACTTCGCTTTTCTTATCTGATCAATGAAAACTAAACGTGTTTTAAATTAATTATCTTATTTACAAGTGATAAGATTTATTGCAGTTAAATACAGTTCAGTGCCAGCTAATACAATGACTCAGCCGCCAAAATTTATATAAAGTAAAACCAAAGAATTCTCATCTTAAAATAAATGTAAATATTTAAATAAGAATGTTGTTTATTTTAAAACAGGTAACGGCTGCTGGAAAGGCGGTTCTTGTTACGGGTTGCGACAACGTGTTAGGCAACGCTTTAGCAAGACGTTTAGACGACCTCGGCTATCATGTTTTTGCTGGATTCCAAAGCAAAGCTGGAAATATTGATGCCGATATGCTGAAAGAAGACTGTTCTGGAAGATTGCATACCCTACAATTAGATATCACTTCGGAAACTCAGGTACGTGTGGAAATCCCCTCGGACCGTCACCCCTCCGGGGTTTGCGGCGGAGTGGTGTGTCGGACTCGGACCGACTAAAACCACACGGTGTGCCACTCTGCGCCTGTAACAGGAGGGATCCGGGAACAGCTGTTGTTAAGACATCCGGACCCCTCCTAGCGCCAGCCCGCTCCTGGTGCGGGCTCCGTCTCAATATTTATTCCTCTCTTTAGGCGACGTCCGGCACACGCGGACGCCGCCCCCTCGCGGCTGGCCGAACTAATGCGGGTGGAGGGGAAACCCACCCCGTCCACCCGCGGCCACACTCAGGGCGGCATGAGGCTGTGATAGGCGGGCCTCCGCCGCCCGGTTCGCCGGCGGCGGATCGGGTCCGAGTGGAGGTCGTCCTCCCGGGCCCTCTCCGCCGCCTTCTTCCGCGAGATTACTACCTCGCAGAAGGTTGCGACCGCGGTAAAACAACTGTCGCTACCGGCTATGGAGCGTACTACGGCCGGTAGCGAGAGATCCACTCCGATGACTGCAGTGAGGGCCCGGCGCTGCGCCGCCCATGCGGGGCAGACCGCCAGCGTGTGCTGGGCCGAGTCCTCACTGCAGTCGCAGTGGTGGCAGGCGGGACTCAGTTCCCTCCTAGCGACCGAGTGCAGGTACTTTCCGAAGCAACCGTGCCCGGAAAGGACCTGCGTCAGCCGGAAGGAAAGGGTCCCGTGCTGCCGCCCTGCCCACTCGGCGATGACCGGCTGGAGAGCCTCCACGGCGGCGAAGCCAGCGCGTGGAGTCTCCAGCCGGAACGACCAACGAGCCATCGTGGCTCGGCGAGCGGCTTCGCACCACTCGCGCACATCCTCGGGCGGAGGGCGAAATCCGCTCTCCGCCCGGGAGTCAGCCACTCGCCGATAAACTTCGGCGAGCACTTCCGCCTCCAAATCCCACGGGGGAGTTCCGGCCAACGCGCATGCCACCTCCGTCGAAACGGTGCGGTAACCGCGTATGGCTCTGACCGCCATTACCCTCTGAGGGCGCCAGAGGCGTACCCTATTCTGGGCGGTCAGAGCCGCCGCCCACACCGGTGTACCGTACAGTGCCATTGACCGGACAACCCCCGTGTACAGCCGTCTTGTCGCGATGCTGGGTCCACCCATATTGGGCAAAAGTCGCCCTAGGGCAGACGCAGCGCCGACCAGCTTTGGAGCAAGCTGTCGGAAGTGTTCGTCGAAGAGCCACCTCCCGTCGAGGATCAGGCCCAGATATTTCATCTGGGCCCGAACCGGTACGAGGACCGAGTTGACCACGATTGGGGCGCCAGGGGGTGGACCACGACGGGGCCCATGAAATAACAGGGCCTCCGACCACCAGGGAGACTCCCCCTGTGGCCAGGCGCGCCGCCTCTTGGAAAACCCTATACCAACCCGTCTGACCAGCGTGGTAAAGTAGGCCAAAACCTCCTTTCCAAGGTGGGCCTCTTCTTGGAAAGGAGGTTTTGGCCTACTTTAGTACCTAGTCCAACAGTGGACTATTAAGGGCTGTTGCTGAACTGCTGAGTTATTTACCCGTGCAGACTACCCCTATTCAAATAAATGTCAAATAATGTCAAGAATGTCATGTCATGATAATTTAATAAAAATTGCCGAAAATATACTTGTACTTTATTGCTTTTTATAAATTTTTCGATGTTTAATCACTCCCTTAACGCTGTACGGATTTAGAATAAATTTAAAACACAAAAATATTTTACTGTGAGATAATGTTTGCACACGGCTACCGATGTTCACACGGAAACAGCTACGGGCAGTCGAAGTTTTACAATTCAGTTTATTGAGAGATTAAGAGTTTCTATTTTTTTGTTAAGCAGACATAAAAATATGTGATTGTAATAAGTTATTATAGGATAATAATAAGGTTATAGGGTGCAAGTATATCTAGACTCAATTCTTTCGTTCCACAAAAATCATTCTTAAGTACCTAATAATCATTCTTAATAAACTTAAGTAATGTAAATATTTGATGCCTTATATAAAAATCTACTTCTCTATTCTGCGTATAAATTTTAGAGACGAAACGGATATGCGGTCACCATCTAGTATTCTCTTTAGAATTTCTGGTCAACTCAATTTTTATTATTTTTGAAAAACCAAATATCTTTGGACAGACTTCCTAAGAACTAATATTATCCATACTAATATTTTAATGGGAAAGTGTGTTTGTCTGTCTGTCTGTTTGTTACCTCTTCACGCTTAAATCGCTGAACCGATTTAGACGAAATTTGGTACAGAGATCGTCCGAGTCTCGGGAAAGGACATAGGGTGGTTTTTATCCCAGTAATCATTGCTCAAATTGAGCAGGATCTATGAGGAAAAGACATTGGATTCCCGCACTAGGAATAAATCCTGTGTCGCGGGGGACTTTATAAACATACATGAAACGGACACAAGGACACCCAGACTCAGAACAACAAATAGTGGATCACACAAAGTGTCGTCCCATGTGGGGATCGGACCCACAACAGTCAGCGTAGCAGTAAGCGGCGTGGCGACCGCTTAAACCACTACGCCATCCGTGCAGTGCAGAAATTGGAACACTCGGATCCGTGCCACCGTAAGAAGCTGAGGCGGGCATTCAAACGATGCCATATTCCAAACTTAATGGCACATATGTGCCTCTCAAATAAGAAAAGGATTTTATTTATTTATTCAGTCTTCCTGCAAACATAATGCATAAGGCGGACTTAATGCCTCAGGCATTTTTGCTTGTTGTTGCAAAGCTGTGTGTGGCAGTTGTATATTTGGGACAGGTAAAAATGAGACTGAATTAAGCCATATCACAATGGCAGACATACATATACATACATATAGTTTATACATATAAATATCATAATAAATGACAAAATATATATAATACGAAGATAATAACTATACTCTTAAGGTGTTATTCTGATGACTCCGTCAACAAGTCTCCATAGAGCTTCCGTACTTTAAGCATAAAAGTGTATCGATTAGTGGACATCCTGATTTCTAGTAGGAGTGTATTCCAAAGAGTTACAGCTTCAACAGGGGAGAAAGAATGGACCATACTGGAATTATGTGAAGGACAAAGAAGGAGAAGATTGTTGGAAGAGCGAAGAGTTCTGTCATGATTAGAGCAGAGATATTGGAAGTGGGATTTTAAGTAGGTGGTTGAGTTAGGTGAGTGGAGAAGAGAGTGTAACACAGTCAGAGCCCTCGAACTGCGGCGCTGTCTTATAGGTAACCATGACAGTTGCGTACGGCAAGCGGATATGTGATCGTACTTTCGCACGTTGAAAATGAATCGAATGCAATTGTTGAGAAGTCGGTCTAATTTATTGAGCAGATTTGCATTCAAGTCGAGATAACACACATCACCATAGTCGATAAGTGGAAAATTTTTTTTTGCTTGCACAAGCATCGTCTTTGTTTTTATTGCAAGGAAATTTTTAATGACTGACACTAGTTACCTGAGTTTGCCAGTTCAGAGTCGCATCGATGTGCAGACTGAGATCCTTGACCGATGTACTAACAGGCAAAACGGTGTCATTAAAGATGATGCCAGTAATATTATCAGGATCAATTCTGCTTGTCATTCTAGGACTCCCTATGATGATCGCTGGCATTTTGATGGGTTCACCGTCAAACCGAACCGAACCGGACCAGTTTTTTATGGTCTCTAAGTCTTGATTAATACTATTTACTATTTATTTTTTATTTGATTTTGTTTACTTCGCACAGCTTGTTTTATATCATTTCAACATCTACCCGCCCTTATTGTAAAATCTTTAAGTTGGAGATTTTTAAAACGATCATTTTCATATTTAATTATCTATAAAATTCAAATAAGTTTTATTCGAATCCCATTTAATTTTAATTTAAAACTCAGTCCTTTGTTTTAGATAGTGTTTTGTTCTTGTGAAATTGTGGTAGTTTTTGGCGCGATTGATAAACTGAAAATTCGTACAATTTTTTAAAATATAAGTTCCTTCTAAAAATACCGATGCGAAAACGACACGAAACATTAACGACGTGTACGGGCCTAATATTGCTTGCATAAAAACGGACCATCGGTTCTATCGTTTTAGATCTGGAAATTTTGGCTGGATCTAAAACGATAGAACCGATAGTAGAAGCGGATGCAACTCAATCTATGACTGAGCTTGCTACGGGCTTTGGAATGAGTGTCAAACTGTGAGACAAAGTGTGAGAAGCAGTACAAAACGCTTTCGCTAACTTCATGGTCCAGCAGACTTCTACAGTAAAGGTATAAACAAACTGCCATCAAAATTGCAAAATTGTATAGATAATTTGGGCCAGTACTTTGATTAGCTAAAATAAAAAAATAACATAAATTTTTATTTTAAAATTTTCCTACAAATTTCCAACTTCTTAGGTTAAGACCAAATAATAATCACTCACAAATCTCACACATGGCAGTCTGATTCCAAACTAGGCAGAACCTGTGCTATGGTAACCAGACTGCTGATAAACATTCTTAAATATTTCTAAATGCATACACTTTGTTGATATCTTACACCCAGACAGAACGAACGATCGTGTTCATCACACACTTATTTGTTCTGGGTGGCAATCGACCCCACGAACTACTTTATGCACTCAAAATATACAATGGTGGACTTAATGCCATAGGCATCGTCTGCCAGTCTACCTTAGGGTGGTGTAGAAAGGAGTAATTAGGTACACAACACTTAAATACCCACACTACACTACACACTCCACCACTACACTACACTACTTAAGTCCCAAAGTAAAAAATAAAAACCTAACTAAGAAATACATTCAAATACGATACGACCTTAATACCTTCAAGAAAAGAGCGTACTGCTTCCTAAAAGGCCGGCAATGCGTTTGTGACTCCTGAGTTGCAGACGTTCATGGGTGATCACTTTCCATCAGGTGACCCGTCTGCTCGTCTGCCCCCTCTAACATAAAAAAAAACACGAAAAGATAAGAGGAAAATTGGGCAAAAGGGGTAATATAAAAATATCTACATGTACATTCATACTTTCTTACACACACACATAAAGTATGAAATTGCCTACTTGTAGTGAAAAATTAAAACTCGTTTTTTTCTAAGATGGAACATATTTATGTAGTGAAAATATTTACCCTCAATATTTATACATTGCTGCCATATAAACGGAAGTTCATTTATGCCTTTACGGTAGATCTCTAGGTATGTAAATTCGACAAACTGTGTGAAAGCATTTTCTACTGCCTCCTGGGAAACAAAAATTTTAACACGTACAAAATTGTCCAAATCACGAAAAAAATAATAGTCCATTGGAGCAAGGTCTGCCGAGTACGGAGAATGACGTATTTTGTCTAACTGCAGCTCCTGTAGTGTTACAAGGGTTTCTCGTGCAGTGTGAGGTCTTGCGTTATCATGGAGCAATAATGGCAAAGATCGATTCACGAAACGGGGCTGTTTCACTGCCAGTTTCGCCGTCATTGTTCGAAGTTCGGCACAGTAAACATCCGTTGTTATTGCCTGACCAGACCTGAGAAAGCTATAGTAAATAACACCATGAAGAGACCACCAAACAGTTACCATTACCTTTTTATTGGTAAGCTTTGCTCGTATTAAAAAATGACTCGGATTTTCGAAGTATCCATCTTTCACGTCTAAGATGAATAGAAAAACAATTAAAAGACGAAAATCTAATTTTGCCCATTTTTTTATATAAGAACCATGAAGGTTTTATGTCCATTCAAAGTATCTATTACAATACAATGGTTACGGTTATATTTCATACTTTAACCCCCGGTTATGTAATACTTTATATATACATACAATATACATACACAATTAATATATAAAGTATTAATCTAATGATGATACAGGTACATTAAGTGTTAGGAGAATTCGTACTTTCGCCTTGAATCACGACTGGAGGCTTTTCTAATTTCCTGGGAAGAGCGATCCAGAGGAGGACAGACTGAATGAGGAAGGAAGAATGAATACACTCGGAAGTATGAGAAGCGCATTGCAGAAGACGATTATTTATAAAGCGAAACATTCTGTCATGGTATTAAAACAGGAATTGGAAGAACGCTTAAGTATATAGATAGGTGAATTTGATGAGATAAGAATTGTATAAACAGTGGTCAAAGCCTGCAGATGAATTGGGAACCAATTCAACTTAAGATAAAAGGAGGACACAGTTAAATTTATGAAGTTTAAAAATAAATCGAATGCAGTTATTCAGCAGTCGGTCGTATATGTTGAGAAGTTCTGAATTCAGATCATAGTAATACACATCACCGTAATCAATAATGGGGATAATTAAGGTCTGTACCAACATCGATTTTGTCTCAGACGGTACAAAGTTCTTGAGTTTGTAATTTTCTGGCTGATGTTAGCGACCTAGGTATAATATAGGCTAACGTTGATGTCAACAGAAAGGCCTTGACAGAAGAACTACGGGAAATATTTGATCGATTAAAAAATAGGTGGCATTTCATCAGAGCGTTCTAGCCATCGTGTGGGGTTCACAGACAAACCAAATTAGTTAGACTAGTCTAGACTAGTTTCTGAGCCTGGGTGTTCTTTGTGTCCATTTCATGTCTGTTTGTAAATTCCCTCACGAGACTAGAAATACTCCTAGTGCGGGCAAAAAAACTTTATCATCAGCATAAAAATGATATGCACACTCATGGAGTGATGATATTGTTAAAAAAATAATGAAATAACAAAGAGAATAATATAGAATATGTGGTGTGCCCTTCCTCTCTAATAAATTTATCTTACTGTTTTAGTTGTGTTGTTTTGCGAATCACTGTCGTCTATTTTTTAGAGTTACCTCTTAAAAATAGACGACAGTGGATCGCAAGTTATCGAAAAACTCAATCACAAAAAGTCAAAAGAATACCTAGAACATATCTTAAGTCTTTGTAAATTAATTTTGTACGTGTACCGCTCCTAGCAATACCCAATTTAGGGATGTATTCGAAGTTCTATTATCTAATTCAGTTAGGCAACATAAAGGAAAATGTTAAAATCAGGAGGTCTAAGTCAAAGGCCCACGTTCCCACAACATAACAAACAATGTTCTTTTCTAAACGTTGTAAAAATTAGCCTAATTTTATACACATTCGTTAAAAATGCTTTTATCTTTCTTTGTATTCTACTAACTAAAGATGTCTGATATCGCACGACTTCAAAATATATTTACGATTCAACAACGTTCGTAACTTTTCGTAAGATTAATTGCTAAAATTTTGGAGTAAAACAAAGTTGTAATTTGTCCTGTCGGCCGTATTTTGTATCCAGTTAAACGCAGTTTAGAATATATATATATTTATTTATTATGTACGAGTATTACATTTCATGAACCCATTCAACTAACTAGCTTCACAAATTCTGATTACAAATTACCATTAGTTTTGCCATCATCTTATTTTTGCCTTCATTTTAAAATATTAAGACCGACATACTTTTTTCTAAAGCTTGTCGGTTATTCGTAAAACCGCTTGATATATTACACGTATTTTGATGTGTACTATTTTCACTATGTCTATTTTGAGCACCCAAACGAAATCTTGTGGTAAATTGTTGGAACATTTCTACACTCAAGTTTTCTGTTTAGATACTCTCAGCTTCTTTGTACATCGTGGACCATTTACCAGAGGGCGCTCAGGGCTTGTGGGCTATTGTTAACTGCGAGTCGTGGTGTGCGCTTGGAGAACTAGAATGGGTGCCTTTCTCCGTTATTAAGCGCGCAATGGATGTCAACCTTCTAGGTGAGTAGAGCTACGGTGCTACGCCACGCTACGACAGCGCTACCCTTATAATTATGATGATCAATCTAAAAACCGCTAGATGGCAATAGTTGTTTCAAAGTATAAGGTCCTATTTTTGTAACTAATTCGCTACTGGTGCTAAATAACATTTAATTTTGATATGTAATAGTAAGAGGCAACTAGAACTATCTCTGTGTAAGAAGAGTGTCCTTAAAAACGCGCCCAATAAGGGTGGTGTTGCGGTAGCGTAGGACAAATTTTAAAGAAAGCGACAAAAGTAATTAGAATAAGATAGACTAATAAAATCACGTAAATAGTTGAGGTTTTGTATACTGCCATTTTACTAACTACTCTAGTCATGAAAATTTTTAAATATTTGAACTTAGCACACTTCACTCCGTCTTCAACAGCTATGTTCATATCGTAGTTTTTTGTGCGTCAGCGATCTTTATTTTCAGTATACAGTGTAGACACTTTTTCAACTTTCCCCCCCATATGAGATACTCTCCTAGCCTCTACACTCCATATTATGAGTTTTTCTAAATGAGTAACTACCTCCTTATTTATCGTTATAACTAACATGTGTTTACACATACAAAAACTATTTTACCAAAAACATATTACTCGTATATTCAAATATGAATATCTGTTTACGCGTCCACGTTATAAATACAATGGACTAAAAATATATTGCATATCGGGCTATTGTGTATCTACTTCTGTATGTATAAAGGTGACCTTTGCTCTCTAAAAAGCTTCGATTGTAAAATTTAGAATGTATGAATTATTATTTTCAATGATATAGTAGCGGTATTCAATAGTATTTTCAATGAGAAATATTTTGAATGAGATATACTGAGCAGTTTAGGAACGACAGAAGCAAATAAAAACTAAATAGATTCAGACCTTCTCCACTTCTTTTAATATTATCAATTTAAAGACTAATACATTAATCACCAGGCCAAATTAGGTTCAGGTTTTATGAAAGAATTAAAGAGTTCAAATTAAAATAACTGTACTCGTATTATACTAGGCCCGGCCCGCCTAGTGCAGGTAATGCTGCCACTGGTTCGTCGTGCCCGCGGCCGTGTGGTCCTTGCCTCTTCGATCCTGACCCACGTTGCAGCGCCAGTGCGTGGAGTACATGCTGCCTCACTTGCCGCTCTCGATGCTCTTGCCGCTTGTCTCCGCAGGGAACTCAAACCACGAGGTGTCGATGTTGTAAGTATAGACAAATTGACAACATTGATGAATATATGTATTTCTACTGTGCTAAAAGGCGTAGTAAATGAATAATAAAATCTAATTCTGTTATAAGCATAAGTAATGTACTAAAAAAGCTCTCAGCTTCAGAACATGTCTAGAGATACGTGTGCACCGCGCATAGAGTATGCAGGAACAACGTAGCCAAGTTCAGTCCATAGTAAACCAGTCACAAAGTTGTTACAAAGTACCACCTCTCCACTAGTACTCATTTTAGATAGATAGAGTCTTTTAGTTTTAGGTAAACCTGATAAATCAGCACTACTATAACCTCACCTATATAAAGAACAACATATTTTTAAAAGTGATCTGGTACCAAAAATACTTCTAGTAAGACCAAAGTCATGAATTTTTACTACTTTCTACATTAAAGCTCCCACAAGACCCGAACTATTACGGGCATTTAATACTTATGGAAAGAGTGTTCTTTCCATAAGTATTAAAATTAATCTTTACAATATGTTTCATTACATATACGGATAAGTGGCTGTTGAATTTAAAAACAGATTCTCTCGTAAGCTCTTTTTTTTAAAGTTCTTTAAAGTCCTTAGTAATTAGCAAAGAAGAAGAAAATAAAAGATGACTGTATTTTTAAATAATTTATTACAACGATGTACATATAATATAGAAAAAAGAGATTATCGCAACGATATGCTACGAACGCTAGTATCGAGCGCGCCGCTCAGTCGTCCAGTGGAGGGGCTCGTAACACCCTTGTCACTGGTTGCCCACGCGCTTGATCAGTATCGAAAATGATTGCTACTTCAAAAATATTTTTCCTGCTCCTGGTGGATGTATAAAAAACAAAATAGAATCATAGGAAGAAACGTTTAATGGGTAGAATTACTTAATTTTATAATAAAAAATAAAAATAAAACTGACAGGCTGATTCACTGACTGATCGATCAACGCACAGAGGCAATCGCTGGGTCTAGAAGTGCGAAATTTCGCACTAATGTTCCTTAGGTGACGTAGGTGTGCACAGAAAAGATTTTTAAAATTTCACTCCTAAGAGTACAAAATGGGGTTGAAAATTTATTATTATTTTAGGCTAATAGCGTATCCGCTATGATGTCTGATGTCGACCACCTCGCAGCCAAAGTTGCTGGCAAAAGCTAGTAATTATTTAATACTAGGTGTACCCTACCACATTTCGCTGTTGGACAAAGTGATTATTTTGATAAGAAATGACGAACAAAAGTGACGCAAGAAATAGATAAAAAGATCTTTGAAGCGGGTTGTATTTCGTGTCAAAATTTGACTGCAGAAATTTTGGGATTTGGAAGCGTACATATACCAACTTAACATATATATATATATATATATATATATATATATATATATATATATATATATATATATATATATATATATATATATATATATATATATATAAATATATATATAGATAATAAATAAATAGATATATATATATATATATATATATATATATATATATAGATATGTAGACGATTTCTAGCTTACAAAAAAATTGTCATCAATGCACGCTTTAAACTGTTTATTAAATAAGATTTACCCCTACGTTCTTTATTTTGAATTTAAACTACGTTTCAGAAAATTAGTTGACCTTTAATTAACGTTAATCCTGATTCACTATATTTTAAAATGACAATTAATCAGTAAGGGATAGTCTACCATAGATTTTGTATCGATAACGTCGTCTTAAAATAAATATCTCTTTGAGGAAGAAAACTTATGAAATATAACTTAGATAGAATAATAATAGCTAAGAGTTTGCTTATATCGCTACGAGTAGAGAGTGGAGTCTCTAGAGATTTGCTTTTTCAAGAATAATGATTAGGACTTAACAGAGGCTGGTAAAAAATAATAATCATAAATCTCAGGTATGAACACCGGACGCAGTAATAGCTTTTACCTCTATAGTACTGTATAATTCTACCTTTACAGTATCTTTCTTATGATGTAAAAGTTATTCACCACAAGGTTAGTTATTCACCACAAGGTTAGTTATTAATTGTAAATTTGCCAGTAGAAGCTCCGAGCTTCAACTGGGCACTTCACTCTGGAATTACATTATTAAAAATTGATATCGAGAGTCCCTAAAATACCATTGAGAACCATAGGTATTAAGAAAATGAGACAGAGCTGACAAAGATGTTGGTGCACTCAAAGCATGTACACTATTAGTAATTTCCTAATGTAGGTTCGAATGTACTCATAAGTATAATAGTTAAAAATAGGCACTAGCATCGCAATGACATTCAACACTTTAAATGTAAAAAATTTGGCAAACATGGCAATTCTAAACATAAATGTGAGTTTAGGAATGTATTGAAAAGTCAGTAAAATGTTTTCCTTAAATTGCTTGCCCTTAGTCGGAACAAAGGGCCAGTACACACCGAGATATACTTTGACATAGTATTATTTTCATAAACATAATACGTGGTTCTCGTTGTGAACTGGCCCTAAGACAACAGACCTTAAGACATTATAAAACAAAACTGATATAATTTTTATTCCCTATAGCCTAGCCCTCACCTCTACCTCAATCATTCTTAGGTATAACATACCATTCTATTTTAATGAAAACAACTTTCAATAGCTAAACATTCGGGAATGTTTCTTGGATACTAGAAGACTCAAATAAAAACTGAGATCTCTGACGCACTGTACTTTTATGACGTCAAACGTAATATTTTTATTTTTGAATACATGGGTAACAGACAGATTCATATTCCCAATGTTGTAACGTAAATATCATCTACTACAGAGTTCACGTACGACATCACGTTATTAATAATGCTGACTAATAATACTGAATGTTGTTTCTGAGAAATAACTTTCTAAATCATTAATATTTCCCAGTTACATTGACATTTATTCGTCCAATGGAAAAATCTTAACAAGCTCACAATATTTTGTTTTATTTAAGTCTCGCGGCAATACATGTCTACTAAACCAACTCTTATATTTACACGGTTACAAAGGACTATATACATGATATACATAGATATTAGCGTGTCCCTTATTTTTCAAAGTTTTAAATTTCTAACGCATAGGTCTTAGTCGTTTTGTTCATTTGCTTCTAAACCACCCGGAAATAATTTTTTACCTTATTTGGAGTACGATAACCCTTGCCGACTTGCATCGAATCATGTTCATACATGTTGCGCAGCAGTAGCGGTGCGTATTCGCGGTATTTGTCATTTTTTGACAATTATTCTCGCTATTAACACTTAAATTTTACATTTAAGAGATGGCAGTGGAATTAGGAAGCAATAAAAAGTATTTTCTTAGTTGGTGACGTAAATTATTAAATAATCCTCAAGTCCTTGCAGTACTTTTTTAAACATTCGCGAAGTTAAATTGACTGTTAGTGAAAGCACTAATCTCTTCATTCGAGAGTGTATTATATTTTGGGTAAAAGCTAGAATCCCTACCAGAGCTATACCTAACTGTGTAAAAAAACTTGTGGATCTTCACCTTACTTGGAGGTAGTTGCAAAAAAATCTAAAAAAGATACAAGATATTTAACAGCGCCGTGAGGAGGACTTTAAAAACAATCTGGATAATTTATTTGATAGCATATAGCACGCGCTGATGCTTTGGAACGTATGCAAATCGAAGAAGATAAAATATTTTCACAAAAACAAAGAGAACCAGGACGTCCAAGGTGTTTAGAGGATGTAGACAAAAAGAAGAAAGGGTAAAACAAAGAAAATTAAAGATTTATCGTCATGGTTTATAGTCATCTATTACTACGCAAGATTCTATTCAAACGAAAAAACATAACGATCAACTTACCAGCTCTGATGAAAGCCTTGAGGAACTCTTGCCATCCACCTCTCAAATGGTAAGTTCTGAAACTACTTCAAAAAGAGGAAGGAAAGACTTTATCACGCCTAAGTTAGTTACAGCTTTAGATAGATGTCAATTAAGCATTAGGGATTCTGCCTATATACTTCAGGCTGAAGTAGAAGCACTAGATTTTAGCTGTGATGATTTTTCGATAAACTAATCGTCCATTCAACGCATTCGCATACAGAAGCGAAAAGGTAGAGCGGAATTTATAAAATCAAATTTTCAGAATAATATGCCTGAAATGGTGACCGACCGATGGTATGGGAAATTATTACGTGGACTTGACGTGAGATGTTCTTGATGTGATGATGTTTGAAGAAAGCCTGATAATTCTAATTTCATTTGGAGAAAAGGAACAACTTCTGGCTGTACCCAAACTGGAAAGCTCTTCCGGCCAGGATCAAGCCAAAGCTATGTTGAACGCACTTTATGACTGGAACCTCGATTACAAAGTAAAAATAATGTGCTGTGACACAATTGCGTCTAGTACAGAGCGAGCGAAAGGAGCTTGTGTACTTTTGGAACAAAAACTAGACAGGGAATCACTACTTTTTGCTTGCCGCCATCACGTTTACGAATTGGTTTTAAAATGTGTGTTCAAAACAAAAATCTATTCAAAAAACTGTTAAAAAAGTTTAGAGACAACTAGAAATATTATTAATCCTACGGCCATTAAAGCATACACCGATATATTCAATATTCATTATAATTAAGAACTGCAAAAAAACATTGTACGTGACGATTATCGGGAACTGATTGAACTATCTATTATTTTCTTAGGAGGAGACAGTGAAAAGAAAATTAAAATTAGACCTCCTGGAGCGACGCATCAAGCGAGGTGGATGGCTAGAGCTATTTACTCTTTAATGATATGTTTGTTGCAATCCCAATTAAAAATTAGCTCCAAGGATAAACGAGTACTTTAAGACGTCAGTTTATTTATTGCAACAACAACATCTTTGGTACTTGTCAGAAGAAATTACCGTTTTATCACTCTTTGATGATGAGGTTAATGAACAAACCAAGACGAATATTGTAGTGAACTTACAGAGAGAGTTTTTATAATTCTGGGAAGAGATACATTCCATCTAAAGAAGATATGTCTAATTGTTTGT